GGGTTCCAAAAAATGCTGAAAACTGTTGTCGATGTATTTTAATTATCAATTATCATGTCTATGTCATTACTTAACAAAATGTGTTTGTGAAAGACGCGCCCGGCGGCAATAAAATTCGAAAAAAGAGGCTATTTTTAGCATAATTATACCACGGTAGGTCAAAGTCAACGTCACAAGGTAATTGATCTTGGTGTCATATAAAAGAACTTGATACGTGGAGTATACATACCAAATATGAAGTCTCTCTCTCTTTTGGTACAAAAGTTATGGCAAATGGTACAAAAAAGCTATATTTAGCATATAGGTTACAGTCAAGGTCACAAGGTCATTGACCTTGGTGTCATTTGAAAGAACTAGTGGAGTATACATACCCAATATGAAGTCTCTATCTTTCATGGTTCAAAAGTTATTGCGAAGGTTAAAGTTTGCAGACAAACAGACAGACAGGACAAAACAATATACGCCCCGGATCTATCGATCTAGGGCATAAGAATATATATAGAATGTAGGGTAATTAAAGGTACATGGACACAGATTTGAATTTTATATTTTCTGTATAATATTACGACTTATATATTTTAATAGCATTTCATGCAAAAATATTTTTAAAATCTTATTTCATCTCAAAGTTAATGAAACTTTAAATTTTTGGATGGGTGTCTTTGGCACATCCTTGAACTTTCACAAATTTTAATTTTATTCTTAATACTTAAGAAATGTGGCATTCTTCTTGTGTATAAATGAAAAATATTAAAACTATAATCCAGAAAATTCATAGTAGAAATGTTCGAAAGGAAAATATATACACACAATATTTTGTCAGTCCGTGCAGTTGTGACTAGTAGACTTTAACAATTGAACGCACTAGTTAAATCGTTAACATCAACAATAACAGCAATCGTGCCCTTTTTACAAAAACTGTGAACTTTTCACGGGTGCGATCAATTTGCTAAACTCTGCACACAACACATAGCGCGGAATAACGATATTTCTTCTCTGATTACAATTATTTTTCTGGATTTAAGTTTTAATATATTTCATTAATGCACAACAAGATTGCCACTTTTCCTCAGTATTAATAATAAAAGTAAAATTTGTGAGAGTTCAAGGATGTGTCAATCAAACCCATCCAAAAATTTGAAGTTTCAATAACTTTAAGTTAAAAATAATATTTTTAATATATTTTTGTGTGAAGTGCTATTAAAATATATAATTCGTGATATTATACAGAAAATATTACCTTCAAATCTGTGTCCATGCACCTTTAAACACTTATTTCATGACATATCGCACACTGCTCAACGCGTTATCGGCTATTCAGTTGTTATCGGGCATTCGGTGCAAAAAAAGCACTGTTTAGAAAACGTAAATGATTTTAAAGAATTTCTTATTTTAATAATGATTGAGTACTTCAGCAAACAAAGTTTATGCTCTTTGGCAGATAAATTATCATACTTTCAGCAGCAAAAAGCACAACAAAATCACTCTCTTTTAAAAGATCTACAGCTCTACACAGTGATATTTTATGTTTAAAAAATCGGAATATGTCATCACAATTTGTCTTTTGTAGAAGTTAAAATCAGTTTATTCTATGAAACAAAATGGTTTACCTATTCCATGGGTATTCATAAACTTTAGAATAAGGCCAAAAGAAAATAAATTCTTATTTCCTGTCTCCTGACCAAAAAATAGGGTAGATAGGTAGGAAAAAACATTTTGAGAAAAATTTTATTTTCAAAACTCAATGAATGCAGATCATATAGCATGTAATAACAAGGAAACAGTATTTTAACAGTTTAAAAAGCAAGTTTGTTAATAAAGATTTATAAAGTAAAGGTATCCTGTACACTTGTGATGTATTAGTTCTGTAAATATTGTTGGTTGACTTTAGTATTTCAGGAAAATATCCCCCCCCCCCAAAAAAAAAAATTAAAATTGAAAAAACTTTAAGGGTCGGAGGGTAAAATGTAGGGTAGGTTGGGTGACAGGAAACAAGAGTATATTTTTTGCCTAAGCAGACTGAGATCAAAAATCCAAATTAAAGGTTAGATAGCAAGCACTTAAAACGTCTCATAAGATGAAAACAGATTATCGTTAATGAGGTTGATGTTGCCAGATAATCGGTTTTTTTGGGGTGTAAGTTATCGGAAAATCAGGTTAAAAAGTTTCCTTTAGCTTCAGAAATAGATTGGAAACAAGATGCGTTTGTGAAACACTAGGCGCCCGGCGGCAACAAAGTTCGAAAAAGCTGTTTTTAGTATATAAGTCATAGTCAAGGTCACAAGGTCATTGATTTTGGTGTCATTTGAAAGAACTTAATTTGTGGAGTAAACATTACAAAATACCAATATCTCATATGGTTCAAAAGTTATGGCAAAAGTTCGAAAATGCTTTTGTTAGCGTATACATGTAGGCCACAGTCAAGGTCACAAGGTCAATGGCCTTGGTGTCATTTGATAGAACTTAACTAGTGGAGTATGCATATCAAAAACTAAGTCTCTATCTCTCAAGGTTAAAAAATTATGGGGAAGGTTAAACGTGACAATAAACAGATAAACAAAAAGCAGATAAACATACAAACAAACAGACAGACAGGATAAAAACGATATACGCCTCAGATCTATCGAACTAGGCGCAGAAAAGGTCCATTATAATATGTCAATCCTTAAAAATAGCAAACTTTTATATGTTTTAAGTAATTTGCCATTCATGAGAATGAGGAAGAACATGGAAATTGCTGCTTGTGGCCCTCGGACTCACACAGTTTCCCAGGTCTTCCTCATTACTTCGGGACAACAGTTTGACTGTTCCTCTCGTAGTCATGAAATACATGAAGTGTATAATGTTTCACAAGTTTGTTGATGATTTAGATGACGTGTGTGATTCACCAGAGTGGCAGGAGGAGGAAGTTCCTGGAGCGAGAGCGCTTGAATTAGCGAACCACCACAAGAACAAAAAATATATGTCCAAACATACTCAAATTTACAGTCCCGAAGCATATGCACGATACTCCGAGAGGTACGAAAGAGTTCTGCTTTAATATATGATATTGACATTTTTATTTCAAGTATTCTCATCAGTACATATTTATCGTATTGGATGAGATGTAAATCATAGTAGAGTTTGAAACAATTGCATTTGACCAATTCATATTATTTTTCATTTTATTAATTAATTTAATTTTAGTTTGACTACAATGATGGAGACTTGTCTGCAGAGCTGATAGTTTGGTTAAAATTCCCTTGGACTCTTAATATTTGAACTCAATCAACATTAATCAGTCCTGTTTGCGATGGTGGATGCTTAACTTTGTTGGGTTTTACAAGTATTTGTGTGAATTCGACACTAAAAATAAAATATAATTTAATTCATCTAAATCAATATTGGATTATTTATTGCATGTCATGCATTGTGGGTCTCGCTGACGAAAATACAAGATCAAACAAGAGGCCCTGGACCACTTTGCTCACCTGAGCACATTAGTTAGGAAAAGGCAGAAATCAGTTCAGTATTGAAATGTTTTACGAGTAGGGGGCACATTTGAATTTACACTACCTGGGAATTCTTTTATATCATAATTATAGCTTTGCTGTTCTTGAGAAGAGTAATTTGAATGTTGCTCTCCTATATATCCATATGTAAAACTTTTATCTTTCATTGTGACCCCACCATACCCTTGGGGTTCATGATTTGTACAAACTGGAATCTACACAATGTACAGAAAGTTTCCTATAAGTTTCAACTTTATTGTCTAGTGGTTTTAGAGAAGATTTTTAAAGGATACCAATAATGTTCACTATTTTTTAATTATCTCCCCAATAAAAGAGTGTATGACCCATTTGAATTAAACTAAATCACCTTCAACTAAGAAAACTTTGTTGCAAGTGTGATTGAAATTGGCCCAGTGGTTCTGGAGGAAAAGTCAAAAATGTTTTAAGTTTACAGACTACAGACATAATGCGATCAGAAATTTTTGTACTCACTTTGTTCTCACTTGAGCTTCCAGCTCAGATGTTAAACATTTCACTGTATCCATTAATGGTATTCAATTTGATTAACACATACATGCCTATTTAAATCGATATATATATATATACATAAAGTATCCAATCAAATAGGGCTGGGCTCTAGACTTAGGTTCCTTTAAAAAGGTAATTTATTATACAGTAAATATCGAATCGATGTGAAATATGGTGACTCTGGCACGTTTCATCAAAGTGACACGCTGTTACTGGAAAGATTGTAGAATGGAGGATCCGTGTTCGTCCTGGTTATCTTACATATCCTTTGTTTACGTTAAAATTATTCCAGTTTACGTATACATGACGTATAATTTATGTTTGTTTTGTATACTGCCTGACCCGTGCCAGGGAACCTAAAATATAAAGCCCTAATAAAAGAATATGGCGGGCAGCAACTTCCTTTAACAGCTGTCAGTAGCTATAAGCCCTATGTTGACCAGATTCGCACGGATGCACACTGCAGGACTTGCTTCGATCTGACCTACATTTTCCAAATGAGTGACCAGGTTTAGAGTATTGGAGCAGAGTTATTTGCCATACCTGGACCAAACTTGCATGGATAACGCATTAAGGGGTGCGCACTACCAGAGTTGTTTCAGATGCTGGATTTGACCTGCATTTTCTGAAGCTTTTGTAGAAGATTCATTTAATACAGTGTACCAAGAAACTGTAAGACCTATCTGAACCAAACTTGCTGGAATGATGTATCGAAGGATGAACACTCTTAAAAACTTCTTTCTGAATGAGCAACTCGTTTAGCTTTTAGAAAAGTTCATTTCAATAGCGTTGGACTTTGTGTACGTTATTTCCTATCTTTATCTATTAACTTTTAGGTTTCAAAGAATAGGTTTTTATGTCATTATTAAGTTTCACCACAATTGCTCTCTGAGAACTAATTCACTCTAAACCATAACCGGTCAGGATCTCTCGATTTGGATAACAATCATCTTTATTTTGGATTTACATATTTCAGATTCTCCTTATCGAAAGCTACATTAGCATCTAAAAATACGGTACTTGTACATTTTTATATATATTAATGCATGTTTGTACTTCATTTCAAATACTAAGTATGTTCTTAGGGCATCTGAAATATATATACACGTGTACTGGATGCATATATAACATCATACACCATATTAACAGGGAGCAAGCCAAGGTCGCCTTTATATTATCATTATGATGGTGACTTCAGGCCAATAAATCCAATCTGGTTCCCAAACGGTCGGCCATCTCTCCGATATGAGTACAGCAGTTCTGGGTGTTCAACAGTACACAAACTAGACGAAGTATCGTCAATATTATCCGGCAAAATCCCCTCGTCTTCCAACAGTGTACGGATCGCTAATTTTAGGTCTACGGTAGGATTTTTGTCTGAGTTATTGTTTAAGACACATCGGGGATTTATGTCTTCAAATTGTTTGATTCCATCCTTTCCAAAATCAAAGCAGTTTTTGCAAATGGAAGGTCCCATGACAACAAAAATATCTTTTCTTTGGCATTCGAACTTCTCTCTCATCATCTTCACCGTTTCTGAGGGTATATTTGCTACGGTGCCCTTCCACCCTGAGTGAACAGCTGCAAAAGCTCGTCGTACAGGATCTGCAAAAAGAATTATGACACAATCTGCACCAGGCGCTGCACACGTGATTCCAAATTTATCGCTAGTTACACCATCATAACCATCTTCCGGGGGATCCGTTCCTATCACGTGTACCATATTTCCATGCACAGCCTTTGCAACGCAGAGTGTTTCTGTATCAAAATTTGCTTTAAGTGCCACACGGCGCCTGTTTTCTTGAATGATGATGGGTGGGTCCCTCTTAGCAGTTGTATAGAGCATATTTAGGGACTTCATTCCAGGAATGGAAGAGATGCCTCCCGTCCTTGTGGTAAAGCCGTGGTAAAATACGTCGTTTGGGATCTTTTTGGACTGCAGGATTCTCACTTCGTCTGAAGTTTGTATTTTGCTCAGATAGTCCCGAACGCTTTCGGTTGTACTCTCTAGCGTTTCATTGCTGCTTGAAATATCTTCGCCAACTGCAACAACATTCCAGTTCACTGCTGGAGTGAAAAATACTTGACAAATGAATTTCATTTTTTGTTTGTGTTTACAAATAATCTTTATTTCTGGACACATCGCACTGTCCAAATGATTTTTAGCAAAATGAAATCCGGCAATCAAATCCGTGTTTTGTATTTCCAAAACTGTATCTTTGAACAATTCCTTTACACTCTGTGAAAGATAATCCGGAATATAACCTGTTCCCATCAAGATAATTTTGTCTATAGATTTTTCTGCCTTTAAAACTTCAAAAATTTCATCTTTTTCACTCTTGTCAAAATCATCTGCTAACAGAAGAACACCAAGGGCCATTGCACCTATAAAAATAAGGAAACCTGTATAACATATGATACCAGGAGAAATCCTTGCCAAATTTATTTCACTTCCTTTTCAGAGATAATGCCTTCTACCTCGTTTTAAGTCACCATTTCGTAAATTAAATGGTCGTCATAATGACCTTGACACAGTGTTAACAAATACATGTATAACCTATCATTAGGTCATCTTTTGCCTGATCAACGTGTTTCATACCATGTTAGACCTTTGTTTTCGATGGAATCCATACATATGTCCCGTCTATCTGATCAATACATACAGGGCTCACGACTGGTGTGTCCTGTCAACAAGGGATGCTTGCCCCTCCTGGACACCTGATCCCACATCTCATCATCTGGAACATCCTGGCCCTGGAATCCAATTCCATGTTTTATGCCTTGTTCGTTATCTTCACTTTTTCAAGCTGTAGAACTGTAGGTGTGGTTTTATATATTAGTCTTTGACCGTAACCAGTTATGGTCGAAGACATATATAAAACCACAAGTAAATACAAGAAAACATCGATTGTCTCCCGGGAAATAAATAAATTAAACAATAGAAATGAGTCTTGATCATATGAAACC